AGAAAGAAAGAAAGAAAGAAAAAGAAAGAGGAAAGAAAAAAAGAGAAACCTAAATCTTTCCTGGCTGAGTTACTTGAGGAGCTTCCTATTGAAGCCAAGAGTCAAAATGTCAATTTCACTTTAATTTTTTCACCAGTGCTTATTAATAGAAATTCCCTTGGGGGCCCTTAAGCGTCTGCCTTTGGTTCAGGTCATAATCCCAGGGTCCTGGGATTGAGCCCTACATTGGGCTCCCTGCTCTGCAGGAAGCCTGCTTCTCCCTCTCCCACTTCTCCTGCTTGTATTCCCTCTCTCGCTATATCTCTCTCTGTCAAATAAATAAATAAATAAAATCTTAAAAAAAAAAAAAAAATATATATATATATATATAGAAATTCCCTTCCAAAAGTTGGCTTTTTAAAAATATTGGGCACCCATGTCTGAAGTTTAAAATCCTCTTATTCAACAAATATCAATAGAGAACTTTAAGTCTTTATTCTTATATTATCCACTGATTTGTAAATACTGGGAATTTCTCTTTCTCGGACATTGACAGGGTATACTCTGTTAGGACTTAAACAAGTCTAGTCCTTCTATCATGTATCCAACTCGGGACAAATGTGATGTATATGTAATGACAATGCTTCCCCATCACATTCATTTCTGGACATTTAAAAAGACATGCATTTAAGTAATCTCTACACCCAGTGTGGGACTCAAACTCATGACCCTGAGATCAAGAGTTGCATGCTCTTCTGACAGCCAGCCAGGTGCCCCCATTTCTGGACATTTTTAAATAGCATCATTTTTTTCCCCCTTCAAGACTATAGGGTTTGGGAGAGAAATAAATAATTAGAAATCACAAAGTAGGATAGAGGAATCCTTAGACTTTGTCCTAATCAAAGTAAGTGGTAATGGTGGTGGGGTCATTGATATATTTTGTTGTGCTTTTAAAAAGAATATGGAAGCTTTTACTTTTGGAAATTTAGAATATATTTCTGGCCAAAACAGAAGCTGCATTCACTCAGCATTTAATTTTGTAAGTGGAGAAATTACCAATAATAATATCTTCCTCTTCTAAATCTTTCCACCAACCTTTCCACCCCTTGAGCCAATCTTCTATCAGAGTCAGCTTTAAAAATAAACAGATCTGAAAGAAAGGTGGATATAAATATGAATTTTGTACCTGCAAGCATATCTCTTCTCAGGAACATAAAAAAGCATAATAATTATCTCCTTTGCTCCTTCCCAAAATTTCTGCAAAGAATTATAGTTAGTATTTTACTTTATCCTCCCTAAAAAATGGAACCATTATAGTACAATATATTTTCTAGTTCAATCTCTCTGATGAGCATGTGAGATCCCTTGGTTTTCGCACTAGAACAGTTTCACTCCCGAGAAGCCCTTAGCCAGTCTATGGGGCGACAAGATCTGATTCTTTACCAAAGTTTGTTAAAAACAAGATGACAGGCCCTAGTGGAGTCACTTATGCTAAGCCCCATGCCACCAAACTTAAGTATCGGCTCCCCCAGAAATCGAATCTTAAATCAGTCAATCAGACATTGCCTAATCAGCAATAATTATCTACCTGATAGACCCTTGCCATCCCCTAAGGAAAGTGATCTTGCCATAACCAATCCTCTTTTTTGTCTAGTATAACTTCCTTGTTCCCACTCCTATAAAAGTCTTTCACTTTGTACAGCTCCTCAGAGCTATTCTCTTGTCTGCTAGATTGGATGCTGCCTGATTAAAGAATCATTGAATAAAGCCAATAAGATCTTTAAAATGTACTCAGTGGAGGGGTGCCTGGGTGGCTCAGTCGTTAAGTGTCTGCCTTCGGCTCAGGTCATGATCCCAGGGTCCTGGGATCAAGTCCCGCATCGGGCTCCCTGCTCCGCGGGAAGCCTGCTTCTCCCTCTCCCACTTCCCCTGCTTGTATTCCCTCTCTCGCTGTGTCTCTGTCAAATAAATTAATAAAATATTAAAAAAAAAATGTACTCAGTGGAATTTTGTTCCTTATCAAGTTACTCATATTTAGAGTTGCCAGAATTAGCAAATAAAAATAAGGATGCCCAGTTAAATTTGAATATAAAATTTTAAGTGAAATTTAATTTGGCATCCTAAGTATTTTTTTAAGGATTTTATTTATTTATTTGTTTGAGAGAGAGAGCTCACATGTGTGTGTGCGAGCGGGGCATGGGGGGTGGGGGTAGAGGTGGGGTTGGGGTAGGAGCAGAGGAAGAGAGGGAGAGGGACAAGTAGACTCTGCACTGAGCATGGAGTCCAACACAGGGCTCAACCTGGAGCTCAATCCCATGACCCTGAGATCATGATCTGAGCCAAAATCAAGAGTTGGAGGCCCAACTGACTGAGCCACCCCAGGCATCCTATATTTTATCTGGCAACCCAATCTATAATACAACAATATTTTACATTTGTTATTTCAATGTCTTTAGAGAATACCGCTAGAGTAAAACATTGGGCTGGGCTTCATAGGTCAAATGAAGGTAAAATTTGTGTCCTCAAAAATTTATTATTGGCAGATACAAGGCAGGACACTGAAATTATATATAAACAAACAAAAAGTACACGTATAATATTTCTACAAAGTGCTGTCAATCTGTGTGTAGTTTGTTTCTTTGAATTTTGAATATTGATCCCTTCCAGTATTTGTATTCCTAAGCGCAAGAGGGTATTCCCTCTATAGTAAAGCTCTGTCTTGGAATCAGTATGACTTTTGCCTGTTCCTTGCTACCAAAGCATAAATATCTGATATTGAACAGGACTGTCCAGTATTTTAACTGCCTATATAGTAAAATGAAAAATTAGAGAATTAGACACTCAAATGCTCTTTTTTCATTAAAATTTCAAATATGCTTTATCTTAATTTGTGATTGATATTTAATCAATAGTAGTTTGTTGTACTTGAGCTTTTGATTTTGCCTTCTCTTAGTAATTTAATGTAATTTAATGGTCCCTGAACAAATACTTAAGAAGATGGTGCTTAAAGAAACCTTGTTGGGGCGCCTGGGTGGCTCAGTCA